CCCGTGGCGGTGCTGAGAGGCTCGTGAGGTGTGCGTGCGGCCCCGTGGCGGTGCTGAGGCCCCCCTGCAGCCCTGCAGGATCTGGAACCGCAGCAGCTGCTGCTGTTTGTGCAGTCCTTTGGCATCCCCGTGTCCAGCATGAGCAAGCTGCTGCAGTACCTGGACCAGGCTGTGGCCCACGACCCCCAGACGCTGGAGCAGAACATCATGGACAAGAGTGAGCTGGGCCCGTGGGCAGCGGGCCCATGGCTGTAGGATGGGAGGCAGAGCAGGGGTTCAGACAGAGGAGAGTGACGGCAGAACTGGGGCCTAAGGGCCGTCTCCAGGTTACCATTTCCCCAGGCCTCGCCGGGCGTTGGCAGGGCTGTGTGAGCGCCCTGGGCACTGATGGAAGCATTGCTGCAGCCCCTTGAAGTGCAGCTTCTGCACTTGGGACGCCCCGGGAGCCACTAGAGCGTGTGCCTGTCCTGGCTCAGGGAAGGGGGCGCATCCCTCCCAGACTCAGGAGGGCACACGTTCCCGTGTTCAGCTGTGGGTGTGAGGGGGTGTGTCCACTGCTGCGACACAGTAGAAGGCATGTGCCCTGCTCAGCTGTGGGTGGGAGCGGGCATGTGCCCTGCTCAGCTGGGGATGGCAGCAGGCGTGTCTCCTGTTCAGCCGCAGGTGTTGAACGGGCATGTGCCCTGCTCGGCCCTGGTGTGAGCAGGTGTGTCCCCTGCTGCGGGTGGGAGTGAGCGGGTGGTGGAACAGGGCAGCCTCTGCTTGGACACGGAGCAGGCACGTCCCTGGGCTCGGCTCCCGAGTGTAACGCTCTGGTATCTGTCCTGCAGATTACATGGCCCATCTGGTGGAGGTCCAGCACGAGAGGGGAGCCTCTGGGGGTCAGACCTTCCACTCTCTGCTCACAGCCTCCCTGCCCCCCCGGCGAGGTAGTGGCCCCAGGTCCCGATTCCTGCTTACAGTCCATTCTGCTCAGGGTCTCGGGCTGGCTCCAGGGCAGGTGGCCCCTTGCGGGGAGGGGGGAGCCGTCTGTGTAGAGCTGGGTGTGACTCCCCCACTCCCCATGGGAGCTGACACCAACCATTGACCCCTGACCAACTGTTCCCCTTTGCTGTAGACAGCACGGATGCCCCCAAACCCAGAAGCAGCCCCGAGCCCCCAACAGGCCAGGGGCGGATCCGGGCGGGTACCCAGGTCCGGGCGATTGGGCCTGAGGATGACTTGGCTAGCCTGTTCCTGCAGGTATGACTGTGCTGCCCCTCCGGTCTGTGTCCTCACTCCTGGAATCAGGCCTTGGGACCGGGGGCCTGGCCCTCCCTCTCTGGCTCATGTGGCCCCAGGCATGAGACCTGGCCCCTTGGTGCCTAAGTTTCCCCATCTGTGAAGTGAGGCAGTAGCACCCCTCCCTCCCAGTGTGTTGTGAGGACTGCGTGAGCTGCGGTGGGCGTGTCCAGAGAGGCGCCCACCTCGGGGGGCCATACCTGGCTCAATGGGGGCTCAGGGAAACCCTTGCTGGCACACCCTGTCTGCCGGGTGGAAGGGCTCGGACAGCCGTCACCTAGACAATCACACCGGCCCCACTATGTCCTTCTCTCACAGTCCCCGTCTGCTGGGTCAAAGGCCTCAGGCAGCCAGCTCCAGGACAGTCAGGCATGCTCGTGGGCACGCCATCCCCCCACGGCCTCTCCTTGCACACTGTCCTTTGCTTGCACCTGGGTACACGCTGGTTGCGGACCACCGGACTCAATGGCTTCCAGCCAGCCCGCCATCTGGGTTGAGGCATTTTATCCCCAAATCCTGCCCATTAGCTGTCCTCCCACCCCTCCTGCCTGGCCGCCTCCTCCTGCCTGGTGGCCTCTACCTGCCTCAGTCTCTGGGCACGTCCTGGAAGTGAAGTCACATGGGGTGTGGCTCCTGCATGTGTGTGCTGTCCTTGCACACAGCTGGGGAGTTTGCTATGGTCACCTGTGCTCACCTGCCACTGTACACGTACACTGCTCCTCCCCACGCAGATACATGCCTGCACTTGGATTTCTTTGATGCCACAGACCCATGTTTGGCACAGCAGGCAAACACACCCCCTTCACACTCGTACCTTGTTTTTATAAGCGAAGGCACCAGGGTTTCTGGGTTCCTGAGGCTTACTGGGTTCCATGTGCAGGCCTTGGTTCTGAGTCCTGGGCACCACCAAGCCTCCCCCTCCCAAATGGGAAGGCTCTTCGGGGTCAGGCGGCTGCACTCAGCCAGCTCTGGGCCCCTTTGTCCTCCAGGGTTCCAGCTGCTGCAGCTCCTGGGGGTGGGCCCCTGGGCCCTGGCTAGCACGGGCTGGGGTGTGAGGGAGGGAGGAAGTGTGCCACAGAACAACCTCCCGTCCCTCTCCCTGACCTTCCCTCTCCCTGACTCTCCCCTCTGTGCACCGTTCTAGATCTTCCCACTAAGCCCTGACCCTCGGTGGCAGAATACGAACCCTCGCCCTCTCGCCCTGGCACTGCAGCAGGCCCTAGGCCAAGAGCTGGCCCGTGTGCGCCAGGGCGACCCCGCCGTGGCGGGCACCACGGTCCGGGTCCTGCAGGCCCTGGCCACCCTGCTGAACTCACCTCATGGTGGCGCGCTGGTGATGGCCATGCACCGGAGCCACTTCCTCGCCTGCCCGCTGCTGCGCCTGCTGCACCAGTACCAGGTGGGTGGGCACCGCGGGCGGCCAGCCCCTCGGGGAGCCTTGCCAGGCTGGGGTCCTGAAACTGCCCTGATGGGCCTCAGTTCCTCAGGGCAGCAAGGGGGTTGGCCCTGAGGGAGCTGGGGTCCAGGGTGGCATCCCGTCTTCATGATGGAGGTTTCCAGGTACGGGCAGCCCCCAGGTTACAAGCCGGCCCCGTTCCTGCGTGTGTTTAAGTTGGAACGGTTGGGTGTGGCCCGTGCCTGACGTCAGTGAGTCAGAGGTTTACCTTAGTGTGAGGGACAGTGTACTTTTCCAGGGATGGGGTACGCTCCAGCGGAGCAGCTGCAGCCCATTGGTGCAGTCACAGCAACAGTGTCTCCATGTGGATTGCAAAGTGGCCCCTGTTCATTGGTGGGACCCGTAATACTCAGTCTGACTTTTTAACACCACGTGGTTGGTCCGTAAACCTACGGTTTAGACCTCAGTTGGACATGCATGGCTCGGAGATGGCCTGTAAAGCCTTCAATAGATGAAAAGATAGCGTGCTTCGTACCTGAGGCCTACCGTCTGGGCTCAGTAACGGCTCCCTTGCTGTATCGTTTTATTTTTTCATGTTCACTTGTGAACGTGTTACTTATTAACGTACATGTATGTATGTGGGGAGCGTGTGTGCATATGTGGGGAGTGTTGTAAGTAGATGGTGAATACATATGTGGTGAGTGTAATACATGGCAGGTATGTGTATACACGTGGTGAGCATGTGTGTGTGCTGGGCGTGTATAGTATGTGAAGAGCGTGTGTAGTGTGTGGTTGGCATGTGTAGTGTGGAGAATATATATGTGGTGAGTGTTGTGCATAGGTGGCAAGTGTGTACATACGTGGTTAGCACATGTACGTGACATGTGTGAGAAGTGTGTGTACGTGTGTGGAGAGCGTGTGTATTACATGGTTAGTGTGTGTAGTGTGTGCAGAGCATGTGTATGTGATGAGTGTACACATGGACACTGTGTGTGGTACATGGCAAGCATGTGTATGTATGTGGTGACCGTGTGGTGACCGTGTGTGGTACATGTGTTGTCTCTGAGTTGCATGATGAAGCTGTAGGTGGGAAGCACCCCGGGACGCAGTGGGCCAGCATGCACTCTGTCTGCTTGTGTATGTATGTGGTGAGCGTGTGTATGTATGTGGTGAACGTGTGTATGTATGTGGTGAGCGTGTGTATGTGGTGAGTGTGTGTAGCATATGGTGAGCGTGTGTACGTATGTGGTGAGCGTGTGTATGTATGTGGTGAGCGTGTGTAGCATGTGGTGAGTGTGTGTGTGTATGTGGTGAGCGTGTGTAGCGTGTGGTGAGCATGTGTGGTGCATGTGTTGTCTCTGAGTTGCATGATGAAGCTGCAGGTAGGGAGCACCCCGGGGCGCAGTGGGCCAGCGTGCACTCTGTCTGCTTGTGTATGTATGTGGTGAGCATGTGTATGTATGTGGTGAGCGTGTGTAGCATGTGGTGAGCGTGTGTAGCATGTGGCGAGCATGTGTGTGTATGTGGTGAGCGTGTGTGTGTATGTGGTGAGCGTGTATAGAATGTGGTGAGCATGTGTACATATGTGGTAAGCATGTGTATGTATGTGGTGAGCGTGTGTGTAGCATGTGGTGAGCGTGTGTGTGTATGTGGTGAGTGTGTGTAGCATGTGGTGAGCGTGTGTGTGTATGTGGTGAGCGTGTGTATGTATGTGGTGAGCGTGTGT